AAGCGCGCCTGACTGAATATGCCTGATCGAGGGGTCTTGCTTATGCAGCTGCTTATTAGTAATGCCTCGGTTAAGCGATTCACTCAACATAATCAGCCTGTGGCGAATGGTACCTGATATTGGCCAGCGTAAACGCGCCCTGTTCAGTGTGGGACGTCTAAGTGGTTGTATTAGCATGTCGGCAGCTAAGGCATATATGTGCGGTGCGCTAGTCCGTGATAGGCAGCCTAGGGTCAACACCTCCCCTCGGACTAGCAACCGTACAGATATCTATTTATCTAGAAATCCTATTATACATGAAATCAAATCAAATCAAATCAAATGAAATCAAATCTATCTATCCTTCTATCCTTCACCCTTTCGGCATCTGTGAGGCTTCAGTTCATGGTAGTAGTATCAATGTTCAAGAGGTTCTCTGATAACAGTGGTGGTGGTGGTTATGGTATTCTTAATGATCAATCTCAGCATAGTGGTTCTTGCAGGGGGTTCTTTGGTGGCTCTCATAGAGGGTTCTTTGGTGGTTCTCGCAGGGGGTTCTTTGATGGTTGGTTCTTCAGGGGGTTCTTCAGTAGATGGAGGAGTAGTGACAGTGACTTGTGTAGCCAGTTTCATCTCATCCTCCCCTTGTTTCATATCCTCTTGATCTCTTGACAGAGAATCAGAGTTTTCAGATGATTTTTGTAAGGATTTTCCCATCCTTCTGTCCCAATATTCATTCATTCTCTTCAGACATTCATTTTGCTTTTTCAGATATTCATCTTGCTTTTTCAAATATTCCATCATCATTTGTATCAAGGTATTGGTTGTTGGTGTTGGGCCTGGTGGCCCAGTGGTAGGTTCGTATTCATCATTGCTAGCTGGGGTATCCATCCCCATGGTAGCTCGAGTTCTAGGAGGCATTCTTCCCCCTATATCAATCAATTTTTAATCTTTTTCCCGCGATCAAAGCTCTTCTAGCCTTCATCAGGATCCCTTCTGCTGATCAGCGTAGCAGCTCGCGAGACGTTAGATAGGCAGTGGAAGGTTTAATAAAAAAAACAAGCAATCCGGGTCATAACCTGTGGGACGTCTAAGTGGTTGTATTAGCATGTCGGCAGCTGAGGCATATATGTGCGGTGCGCTAGTCCGTGATAGGCAGCCTAGGGCCAACATTCAGCACTTCGAATGACTAATCACTTTTTGCCTCGGGATCCCCTTTGTCCGTCCTCACAACCCTTCACTGAGTTCAACTTTAACTTCAGCATCGTTAGTTGACCTGCTAATCGGCTCTTGCTCTGTTCTCCAAAGACGAAAGATGGCTTTTGCTGCTAGAACTTTCACCAGGGCTTTTGCTCGTGCTCCCCTTGCGAGCAGCTCCTCTTCATCCATCCGAACTTCCGGTCGTCATGCAGGCCGTTTTGCCCTTCCCTCCCAAAGCTTCCGAGGTGGATCCCGCAGGGGGTATTCCTCTGATCCTGGAGCAGGAAAGTCTTCTACTGGCTATTATCTTGGATTGGGTGCTGTTCTAGCTGGAGGTGCTGGTGCCTTCTACTACTGGAATAACGATGGACTGAAAGCTGTTGCCAAACCAGCGTCTTTCACTCCAACCAAGGACGATTACCAGAAGGTGTACGATGAAATTGCGAAGCTCTTGGTAGAAAAAGACGACTATGATGACGGAAGCTATGGACCGGTGAGCTAAACTTCGTCTCAGCCTTCATTCCTAGTAGCATTTTATAATTTATGGTTTGTTTTTGAGCAGGTTCTTGTCCGATTGGCATGGCACGCGAGCGGCACCTATGATAAGACAAGTGGCACTGGGGGAAGCAATGGCGCCACTATGCGCTTCTCTCCCGAAGGCGACCATTCGGCGAACGCTGGCTTGAAAGCTGCTAGGGATTTCCTCGAGCCAGTCAAGGGTAAGGAACATAAAATAAAAGGCCCTTTCATAACATTCATAAAGTTTCGTAGCGATTCACCTCGCTAACCTACATGTTAGCTAAATTCCCTTGGATCTCCTACTCCGATCTTTGGACTCTTGCTGGTGCTTGCGCCATTCAGGAAATGCAAGGGCCGAAGATTCCGTGGCGCCCAGGCCGCTTAGACAGGGATGTAACCTTCTGCACACCTGACGGACGTCTTCCTGATGCTTCCAAAGACCATAGACATATCAGAGATATCTTTGGACGCATGGGTTTTGACGATCGTGAGATGGTCGCCCTCAGCGGCGCTCACTCCCTTGGTCGTGCCCATCCTGGAA